AAAGAACTGTGTGAGAAGTTGTTGCGACCTTATGTAGATAATATGTAGAAAATATTGTATGTAGACTAGAGTCAAAACAAGTGAGAAAAATAAGATATCAAGATGGCCTATGTATAAACAAAATGCAGCTGTTGCTTATTATTGTCTGTAATGAAAGGTATAAAGGTTTGCTGTAATTGTTTACCTGTAGAGAGACCTGTTTAGCTCTCTCCCTCTACGCAATTGTTAGAGAAAATAAGGTATCTGACTTGCTGTACCCAAACAAAGAGTGAGAACTCTGTTATTCTCTGACACCAGCAGCAAACCCCGTGAGGAAGCCAGAGCTCCTACCTGACACCAGCCTGTGAACCTGTAGAGTGAGGCAGAGAGCGACGTAGCTGGGCAGAGTGGAGCCACAGGAGAATGAGAGAATCTTCCCCATCATCATAGCTTGATCTGGGGAACAGGAGAAATAACAAACCAGATGGTGAGTGATTATGGAGATATCCTATCTCCTAGGACTGGAAGGGACCTTGAAAGGTCATTGAGTCCAGCCCCCTGCCTTCACTAGCAGGACTAGAGCACTGATTTTTGCCCCAGATCCCTAAGTGGCCCCCTCAAGGATTGAACTCACAACCCTGGGTTTTAGCAGGCCAATGCTCAAACCACTGAGCTATCCCTCCCCATCAATGTGATGCATTGAAAGTGACACAGGGCAGTGGGGAGGTGGTAACAAGCCTCACTGTTGCCTGCCATACACCAGAATGGAAGGGATTTCCCCCACAGTCCTCATCTGCTGTGGCTCTGAGCAGGGTTAGATGTTGCTGTGATTAAAACCCAGAACTGCCAGAAGCCAGTCCATACCACGGCTGAGACCTATGGAGCTCTCTGCTCTATTTAGATTGTGTAAGGACCTGGGGAGCAGTGTGGAAAATAGGCACTACAGGAAGTACTGCCTGCGAGACCCAGAGTGACAGTACCCTGTGGGCCTCTGATTGGCCAAGTGCCCCTACTTAACCGCAGGGCTTGCCCCAGGAAGATGTCTGGGCAACCACCCAGACCTTTGCCTACTGTGATGCTGGACTTTGCCTTGTCTCCTGACCTCTGACCCTGAATCCAGCCTCTTGATTCTAACCTGGTACTACCTCTGGTATCTGACTCTGACCCTGACTCTTGTTTACGGACCCTGGCCTTGTGATTCCTCTAACTCTGGCCCAATGACTCCCATCCCAGGTGGGCAGAGGGGATCTCTCACTATTGGTGTGTCCAGCTCCCAGCACAGTGGGGCCCCATCTTGGCTGGGGCATTTAGATGCTACCATGAGACATATTAGGGAAAACAAGCCAGTGCAGGCAAAGCCTTTGAATGGGGTATGAATGGCCACTGATCGCTGTGGGGGAAAGTGGCCCCACCTCCCAGCCACACTTGTCCTAGGTGAGTGGGTCTCTGGGGATCTCCCTATGAGCAGCTCAGTCCCTGACCTCAGTGATTTTTTGTGTCAGTGACCCACCCTCATTGCCTCCAGTACTGGTGTAAATGTCAAAGAAATTCTGAATAGGGTCACCACATCTCTGTGCCCCCTGGGATCTGCACCATATAAACCACTCTCAGGGTACGTCTACACCGCCACTGGGAGTGAGCTTCCCAGCGCTGGTAGACAGTCGTGCTAGCTCTCCTTGAGCTAGGATACTAAAAATACAAAGTAATGGGGTAGCCCAGGTGGCAGGTCAGGCTTCCTGCCTGAGATCAAACCTGTCTGGACTCCTGGGGTATGTATCCGGGTGGCTAGCTTGAGCCGCCACCTGTGCTACCCCGGCTACACTGTAAGTTTTAGCAAACTAACTTGAGCACAGCAAGGATGTGTCTATATACCCACACTGGGAAGCTCAGTCCCAGCTGCAGTGTAGACGTACCCTTAGAGACAAAGAGCTTTAGATAAATGTTAGAGTCACTCATGGCTCATGCTCCACCCAGTTGTGCAGCCCCTGTCAGGCTGTGCAGTGGTGTCAAGTCCTCCCAGGAACCAGGCTGTGCCTGTAACTTCCCCTAGACTGGGATGGTCACCATGTTACCCACAGATAGGCCAGCATTGGCCAGGAAGGGAGCCTGACCAGGGCTCCAGGGCACATACTCACAGCCTCCCTGTGTGATTCCCACTGACAGAGATCTGGGAGGGGGTGATGCACCCCCTGCCCTGGCAGAAACCTGTAGGATGGGTGGGTGTGGTAACAGCACCTGCCCTCCCTCGGGGCAATGGCCCTGCAGACTTGGGTGGGGATGGGAGGGATTCACTGAATCTGGACCAAGGTTTTTCTCTTCTTGTCTTTCAACAGCGCACTCTGGAACGACAGTTTAGTGACAATAACAAAGGGAAGGAGGGGGAAGAGAAACACAAATACACAAACACACACACACACACCTGTCACAAAGGGAGCCCAGCTCTGTGCCAGCCAGCATCCCAGTCTGTGTTCAGATGCAGAGAAATCTCTGAATTTGCAGGGACATTCCCACAGCCAGGTTTACTTTCAGAGTCAGAGGGGGCTGGTTTCTCCCTGAGAATCCCTTCAGTGAGGCCCATTGGTGATAACAGCCCACCTGAAGGGACCTCAGCGCTGTGTGTCCGGAAATCTCAGCCAGAGCCGTGCAGCTGGGGATCCAGAGCCCAGAGCTCCCCTCCCTGCTGAATCCCAGAAAGAAGCTTTGAATCAGAAAGTCTAGAAGGTTAGTGAAAAATTAGCGCACACAAGGAAAACCCGAAATATTTTACTTCAAACATTCTATGTTTCCTTTTATCGCTAACAACAAACACAGACCCCCAAGCCTGGCACCCCAGGCAGTCGCCCAGGTTAGGTGCCCCTAAATCTGGCTCTGGTCCCCATGTCACTTACTGAGGCTGCAGCACCAGTTCCACACACAGGGTCATGAAGCGGGAGGGTTTGAGACCCGACTCTTCATTGTTATTTTTGTTACATTTGTAGCTGAATTGACTGGGCTGAGCTCCCTCCCGGCCTGGGCCTTCCACTCACTTCAAAACTGAAAGTACAAATGTAGCAGGAAGTTAAGATAACGGTCTGTGTCCCTGGCTGTTTGGGGCACAGCAAATTCCTCTTAAAGAAACAGCCCCACCCACAGGGCACAGAGCTGGCGGGGTGGCCCTGGTAGGGGCAGTTTGCCAGGTATGCCAGTGTAGGGGTGTCAATGCCCCCCCCCCCCGAAGTTGCTATTCCTGATCTCTAGGGATCACTGTGTTATCAGTAATTCAGATAAAACATGGTCAATATTTCTAGCCTCAGATACAAATGTTACATGAATACAGGTTGGATAAACACAGTAAATAGGTCTTAAGTTTTGCAATGATACCCCACATCAGCCATCTTGCATAAAGAATATATTAGCTATGTGATATCCATATCATAAGCATATTTTCATAAAGAATGTAGAGGATAATGTCACACCCCACATGTATGTTTGCTGATCTGCAAATAGTAAAGGAGCTTGCACATTTGGGTGCAAACGCTCATGACAATAGTGCAGAGCCATGCAAGCTCCATGAGTCTGTGTGAGATGGCAGACAGTGAGGAGGACCAGGCAGGTTTGTGGGTTTAGAAAAAAAGGTGTAAACATTATGTATACGTTTATGTATGGGATACATATAAAATTAGTGGATGGTTAACAATGCATTATAAGAAGTTGGATCCCATGACCACAATCACCCCTGTCTGACCTGTTTAGTACCCAGCATACACTGCCAAACCAAAGCTTCCCAAAATACAGTGAGATATCTATTCATGGTGCACCTCACTCTGAATCTAGACAAGTGCTTCTGGTGAGTACCATGACTGCTGAGACAAGGAGTCCAGGAGGCATGCACACAAGTGACATAGTAATCGTGGTGACTCTATGGTGACATAACTTGAGTTAATCCACACTTAAAGTGTAGATATGGCCTTAGGTCTATGAAATGTTTGGGAGAGGGAACAGGAACAGTATGAGGGTAGACTAAGATTCATTCAGGTGTTTAGGCTCAAGGCATTGGAACTGGCCTTACTGCACTCTGCAGGCTCAGGAACAAAGAGGCACATAAAAAAAGAGATCATTTATTTATTAAAATGTCTTGACTCGAGGGTGTATAACTCATGATTTTAGAATTCTTGTAGTTGTAAAGGTATCTTGGGGTTGTAGATGTGTGTTCATTATATTTTGAAAGGCAAAACTATGAATGGGTTGAACAAAGAATTAGATCAGTTCGTCAGGATAAGTACATTGGCTATTAGCCAAGATAATCAGGGATGCAGGCCCATGCTCTGCATGTCCCTGAACTGTCCTTTGACCGCCAGATGCTGGGAGTGGACAATGGGATGGTTCACTCAGTGATTGCCTGGTCTGATCATTCCCTTAGAAGCACCTGGCATTGGTCACTGTCACAAGACAGGATACTAGATTAGGCGGACTATTGGTCTGACCCATGATGGCAATTCTAATTTTCTGCAAAAATGACAATAGATTTTTTCCAGGGAGAAAGATGTTATAGGAGATAGTATACTGCCTTTATTGAATATTTCAGAATCAAGTTCTACACAATGGCATGCGGAAAAACACTAAGGGCTAGACTGAGAGGCAAAATAACAGTTGCAAAAATGCAATCCCCATTGGTGGATTGACTCAAAACAAAGTTTTGACACTAGGCCAGAAAATCAGTCAG